ATCAAACAAAATATCTTCTTTAYCAACTCTGCATTTCATAATTTTGGACTATGGATATTATTAATATAGGATATTCAAATTTCAAATATGTAACTTAAAAAACAATGTTTTATATTTTTTATAAAAACCATTTGTTTATTATAATTAATAATGCTTTCTTTTTTCCTCTCATTTAATGACTTGTTTTCAAAAATAAAACTTTTTTTTTTACCAGTAATATACAATCTATGACATCAATAAAATAAAAATATAGGCTAAAATTACAATTGACAGGTAACATTATTTTAATGAAAGAAGCCACCTATTGATTACACTTTCTATGATGACTTAATAATTATATTTAACTATTTTTGTTTTATAAATATATATATATATTTTGTTTTATAYTTAATACTTACGATTTAGGCGTCTAGGTGGAGGCCAAATTTTTGATAAGTGGATTTGAATGATAATTCAAGTAGTTGTAAAATCTTTTATAGAAACATTTAGATTCATCACTTATTATAGTTATTGTTTTTAGTTTTAGGTCTGATTGTAGAGAAAATGTTGAGATGTAGAGAGGTGTATTAGTTAATTTTTTTACATCAATGTTTTTAAATGCTTGAATTTTGTTCATATTTGATTTTTTAGCGKTACTCCATATAGCTGCAGACCGTATATCCACACTGGTTTGAGTAGACTTATATACATTAAAAGATTGATGCCCATGGAATTGTATTTTTTATCACAGCTTTTATCACATATTTTAAAAAACCGATTTTATGTTGCTCATCGTTGCTCAATTCATATTATAGTAATTTATGTCTTATTAAAATCACAAATCAAAAACATAATATATGAAGAAGAATTCTTCKCCTTTAAATACGAAATCCAGGAGTCAGCTAATTAGGGCATGATTTTACATTAAAATGTAAGAAATAAGTAGAATAGAGTATTTAAAAATGTAGATCAAAAAAATAACTTATTGACATAGACAATTTGTATTATAAAACGTATTATTATGTTAGTTTATTTTTATTTAAGTACTTGCCGCAYTTGGTACTATTACCTATAATTTTATAATCACAGTTATAATTTTACTTAATATTAATTATTGACGATTTTAAATATTTTGAAAAATATATAAAATATAGTCAAAAAATCAACCATAATAATTATAATTATATAAAATATATTAATATTGGTATCAAAATATGTTATTTTATTTTTTTATGTTTAGCATTTTTGACATAATATTGGTTATATTTTTATAATGGTGCAGTTCCTATACTCTCTTCTATATTTCGTTTGCATAATAAAAATAAAACAAAAAGTCTTCTGCATGAGGTGGTTTATTTTCTTTTAAACACGTCATTTCATCTAGCACTTTATCCAATATCCAGAAGTAGAAAAACTTAAACTATTCTATCACAATATTTTCTAAACTCGCTATCTTGTTTGTAAGTAGTAAACACATCTAGTTATTGTACTTTCCTATGAGTTAACTGATATTAATTATAAAAACATTAATTTATTTCAATGTAATTAAGAAAAAAATTTTTAGCAGCGTTTATTAATTACGGCCTATTCAAAATCCAAGTGTAAATGTTGATTTTGAAGCTGGATACAAATCGTGAGTTTGACATTCATTTAATATTATACTAAACAATTGCTCATAATACGTAACTTGACTTTTGTGCTCAATAATACAATACACARCTATAACAAATACTGATTTTTTTTGTTTCTTACGCTAATCGACGAATCAGACTCTGCTAATAAAGACAACCCTATATCGGCTATATCGGTGGCAAACATAATGATTCTATCGCTGATATTTGGCCCACTTCGTGTAGTAAAAATCCTTTCTTGTCCAGTTATTCATATTTTTTATAATAACCTATTAAATGTTAAGTAAAATAAATATCTTCTTTAAAAAATAAATTCTATTTTATCCATAATATATTATAAGTACCTACCGTAGGATTATAGGAAATTTGATTGTTTTAAGTTCGTATTTTATTGTAACTAGAAAACATTATTCGTGAGCAGGAACTTAAAACTTTTGAAGTTTATTAAATTATTATATCTATAGTTGTATGAACAATACACACAATGGCATTTTAAAATGTATAATGTCATCGGCGATCGACAAATATTATTTCAACTTACTGTACTACTAATAGTTAAACAAACTACTTATACTCGTATTATATCATTAAATTTAAATTTAAATAAACATGGTGAACTTCTGAARTTAAATTTGCTGTGATACGCACTTAGAACATTGTTTTAAAAAGTATGAAATACCTTCAATAATTATTTCTGTCAAACACCTTGCCACCTTGGTTTTTATGAATTTGTATCATCCCCTCTATGATTTCGAATAGTCCTTTTTAAATATTCATCTTTCTTCAGCAATTCGGCTGACACAGCATCGAGAACATTTAGTACCTATTGCACTTGAAAAAATTTAACTAGATACATAATTGGTTAGTTGGGCTGTTGCTTTTATGATTTTTTGAATTTTTACGGTGGAGACCATATTTTCATTTGCTTTATATATGTGAACATGTTGAATGTTCAATACACAATAAAGTTGGATCATCATCATTCAAAACGGTTTTTTAAAGTGCATTGACATTTCATTGAACTTGATTTTGTCCATCTCCAACAAACCATATTTTTACATTCTTTATGAATATTGAACAAATGTTCATTATATGAAACTTGAAATTTTTTATTGATATTTTGAATTACATCCCATTTCTAATCCGCACTTCTAAATTTTAATTCAAAATAGTTAATCGATAAATYACAAAAATGAAAAACTGTACTGAAGAGAATTTAAATACAATAAATTAATTGGGTACCCGAACCTATAWAGTATATATAATTTTCAATTGAAAATAATCAACACGATAAATTACGTGACATAACATAAAACTATAATAAAATATGGGTAGGTTATTATAACAGATCAGGTCGTTAATAAAATATAATAATTAATAGTTATCTTCATAATWTTCAAGATAAAATAAAATTTAATTAATTTTATTGGGAATATATCATGCTGCAATGTGTGCAAAAAGTATACATAAATATTGTATTTAGGTAGGTATTCAATTAGATTTAACCTACAAATTACTGTAGGAAAAAACCATATGATAGGGGAGTTTTGGGACATATACTATGTAGGTATGGTATATAATATTATGTAAATAAAGATTCTAATCAAATTTCCTAATGAAAGATAATTTTTTTAATTTTTTTCCGGGTCTTTTATCTCTTATGACGAGGCCTTTTTTCCGAATACCCCGCTATTTTACACATATAAAATAAAACGTATAAAAATCATATTATAATATTAAACCTATAAAAGTATAAATATTATGATTTATGTTTAGAAACATAACAAGTTTGTCATAAAAGTTGGATTAGCCGGAAAAATTTTTCGTCGGCTTTCGTACACGACCAACGTCTTTGACGGAAATATAGTAATAGTATCATTGATTATAAATAGTACCTAAATAATAATAATAGTAATAATACCTTGGTATTTATAATCAACTTTGTCCAATTTCACGTAAAATAATTTTTTGGCCCTCATAGGTACCTACTTACATCTTCTACAACTGCTTTACGCTTATAGGCTGAATTGATAATTTGTCAGTCAATTAGACGTCTTTCGATTGCATTATGGACCATATGGTCTGCTTTATGCCTKTATGACTACCTTCAAATTTGACCAGTACATATTATTTATTTTATGTAAACATTTTAGCAGCGCACACTCTTTTTCGTAGCACGTCCACCGAGTAATGCCGTTTTTACGCTATACGCATGTAAAAATTAAAATTTTTTGTATATTAACATAATATAATGTACACAGTATTGTTTGTTATTCCTTCAATATTTTCGTGACATCATAGAATTTTGTTTTTAAATTTACATTATCGCAGACCACGGGTTCAATTTTATCGATGATATAATAATAAATTAATAACGCACAAGGAGCTCTCAACGAATATCTCAAATAATTTATCAATTCCTTTGGSGGAAATCGGGATACAACTTTGGCAAAAAACAGCCATGGTGATTAAAGACGAATCAGAAATGATTATTTTAGCAGAAAACGGTTACGCTCAACCATTATTAGATAGGTAGAAGCGRCACTAAATATTTTAGTTACCTATAACTATGGGCTATCACAGCATCACTAAAAGGTATAACCACAGATTATGTATATAATATATATAATACATTTTTATATAATCTGTGGTATAACCATTGATTATAAATTTTGTTTTTTTTATTTATTATAATCATAAAATGTTTCAGCACACATGGTGCTATTAYAAGTAATTATTTTTTAACAATTGATTCAATTATACTAGATACATGCATTTTTTACATTGATAGGTTATAAATAGGTACTTGTATTACCTACTAATAGTATTAATCAAATAAATAATATGTATTGACTTATTAAATATAATGTTCAGCAACACCTACCATTAAGTCCTRCGCACGCCTATGATTACTATTAGTTATTACTTCGTGTAGAGTAAWCTACGTTATTGCGTTTATATTTTAATTTATAGGTGGTAAACTGGTAATTGGCATTAAGTTATGGTACCTACCTTATACCTACGTAAGTAAATTAATGCAACTTGACGATTGACGTGTCAAATACTCAAGTAGGCAACTATACTCACAACTCACGTAGTCACGTGTGCCTGATGTGCAAGTGCCCGATATTGAGTGCCCAGTAGTAATAATAATAATATTAAAGTTATTAATTTATAATTATTATAAAAAAAAAATAGGTAGGTTCATAACTTTTTTATAGTTAATTCTGTTTAATATTTAATACTTTACTATCGCCATCTAGTAATTATTGGAATGTATCAAACAACTGCCATATGTTTTACTATCATAATTTTGATMTCAGAAAACTTATCAATTTATCAGCACAGATGTAATATTATCATTATATTATTAACTTTTTAACTTTTTTTTTTAAATTATTTATTTCCCTTATGAAATTTAGTAAACAAGAAAACTTGACTTATTAGTTATTAGTTATTACATAWTTGTTTGATTATGATTATTATATTATATTTAGTATAATTAATGAACTTTCTAGAGCAATGAATTCTTCTAAAGTGTTGAGATTTAGGGCACAGTTAACAAAACTGCATAAAATCAATAGTGTTCCTGTTGGTCGTAGATTTTCTACGGGTTCTCAAAAATTACAACAATACTCAAAGGTTGTTGGGATCGCAGGAGCAGGAATTTTAAGTTTCATAGCATATGGTTTTACATCTGACTTCAAAGTGTATGCCTATTCAAAGAAAGATGTAAGTAAAACCTATTACCATTAATGTATTTCATTAAATTAGTAAGTATTATATAGGTACTTTTGTTGATAGTGCATCTGAAAAACATTTTGTTTTGATACACGCATTCGGGCACAATCATAATCTATAACAGAGTTATTGTACCAAATCATTTTTCATTGAGATAAGATACCTAATTTATTAGAATTACACTTTTATGATTTACCTATATTACATAGGTACCTAGTTTGAAGACACATCATATAATTATTCATAAAATATATAGATACCTATAATGTAAACTAAAATTTTTTAACCTTATACTAAAAAATAACATGACAATGGACATTTTTCATAAATTAATAAATATCTTACTATCAATGGCACTGCCAAACATTAATGTCTAGGAAATAAGGTTAAACCATWGGCCAATTATTGTATATAAAAATATTTTTTAATGGCTATGAAATTACTTTTATTTTATTTCCTTGTTTCCTTGACTGTCAACAATCGATTTAATAATCCACCTCACAGGTATAAACCCCGACTGACAACTACTGTAGATACTATAAAATATTATATAATGTGATATTGTTATATGATATAGATTAGCTATTAGCTACTTACCTATTTTTATTTATAAGTTGAATAACACATAGTAACGTATTTGAGTAAAAAAAAAAAAAATATTTCTATGAATATTATGTGATTCTCAATTTTTTAGCCTTTAAAATCCTAAATATTCTAAAAAAATGTACTAAATTGTAAGTATACCCTTAAAATACAAAAATACCATTATATGCAAAAATATGTAGAATATAATTTTGTWTACACCATCATTAGGTTATGAAACAAATTTTGGTATCAACTGCTAGCTGTCTTTTTGACCAACTAATAAAAATATGCAAATGCTTACAAGTTTTGGCCTTAGTAATACCTAATAACAATATACAAGTTGATTTTATTAGCCAATAAATAAATGTATCACACAAAACTTACATTATTTGTTAGAAAGTTAGATGATGAGCTTTTCATCTAARCTTTACTAGTTAATGTAGAACTACCTTATAAACTTGTATTATTTGTATTTGTCAACAAAAGAAATTTACATTGGTTTTATTTATTGACAAATGACCGTACTGAAGTGTTATAACTTATAACTAATGACTTATGCCTTATTCAAAAAACAATAGTAACAATATTTTATGATAATATCAAAATAAACATATTTGTTCCTATTTGGCTATGCATTGCTATAATGTTGGATTTTTAATGAAAGCATATAAATAAATAAATAATAATTACTGAAGTTCAATTAATTAAATATTTGTATATACATATACTTATATTTATAACTTTATAAGTATATATATATATAGTATATAAATCATTCAACCTACATTAGTACCTACTTAATTTTTCTAAAAGAATTTGTCAAGCTTATTTATTAAATGTATACAATGATTGAATGATGTATGTTTTTTTTTCTATTTAAAGAAATATGGCTTCAACAACTTAGGTTATTAGCCTGACATTAGTTTTTACATGATATTTTCTTAAGATTAGTGTTATGTTTTTTTTTTCTCTATGGCCAATAAGTAGTCAAAATAATGCTAACTTCAATAATTTTTTCAATGCACTCWGAAAAGTTTCGTGCACAAATGCACAATACAATGATTTCATTGAATTCAAATTTAACACGTCCATTACAGTGATTCTCTAGGCACCAAATGTACAGATGAGCGTTACCCACTATACGCTCTTTTTAATTGAACTATTTATGTCTAGTCCATTCATAATTATTTAGTTTCATTTTTTTAAATAATATATTATAAATCAGCAGTTCCCAAACTGCACCGCGAGCACTTTCTAAAAGCACCGCGGTTTTAGGCTCATAAAAAATAATTTAAGACGAATAGATTTTTTTGAAAAAATCATTATTAATGAATAGTCTTATAGTTTATAAGTCTTTCATGGTATTCACAGCAGAACACCGTGGCTATATTTGGTCCAAAAAAGACACCGTGGAAAAAATGTTTGGTACAAATTATTTTCATGAAAAATTGTGTTATAAAGTAATATTGATAAATATTCCAGCTCAAAGAAAATTAGAGATGAAAAATTAAATGCCTTTCGAAAATAATTTTCTGCAAGGTTACTGTTTGCTAGGCTCTTGGTACATTGTTATTTATTATACTAATATAGTAATATATTGTTAAACAATTATTCACCAACATTTTAATATCGCTGCAGAATATTATTTTGTYAGTATWATTTATTTCAACTTAAAACAAAAATTATATATTATATTTTAGTATTGTAAATTATAAGAATAAAATTGAAATTTTTTTTTTTAGTGGTATATGGATAGTTCAATATAATATCTATAACTAAATTTTATGTAGATAAATTCTATGTTTGTTGTTCAAAAGATTTCAAGATATAGATATACTGAAAAGCATGTGCCGTCGGACATACAGCAATCGTAGTTGGAATATTTATAAGTGTTTTTTTTCAAGAGATTTTTCTCGTTCTGTAAGATTTTATGTATTTACACATAATTAAAGATGACGATAACGATATAACAAAATCAGTATGCCACGGGTAACAATTTTTGATTAACCAAGAAAAACAATGACGAAACAGCCGACAAAAATACCCTGTGGTGTCTCACCAACCGGCCATTTATAACACTGATGTTATCTAAACGTGGCCGGTCTACCCCTTTGTTGTTACTTTATTGTTCAATGTTTAGAGCTACTTACATAAATATAGTAAAACACACTAGTAACAACTATTGCGCCCTGCTAGCACATTAATAAAAAAAAAAGTTTGATGTCAAGTTAAACATTTATTGAAGAATGTTTATCTAAATTTTATTTCATGATAAAATTAATTCCATCATAATATATTTATCGATATATATTGTACGTTTTTAATTATGCTAAAACTTGAAAATACTAATAGAGAGTTTGTCTTTTCAATCTTTTATTTATTTATTATTCATCCACAAACAAATGACTATCGATGTACGAATATGCCTGCTTGATAAATTATTCCAAATGGCAAGTATCTATCACTCAGAAAAATGTTTCGTATTTTAAATAAAAAACGTATATAAATTAAAGACAAATGAGTATGATTTCGGGCCTATGATACTAATTCATTAAAATAATTACAAATATTTCATAAAACCAGTTATTTGCGTTGAAAACTTTACCTTACAACTATTATTACTTGGTATCTTAAAATAAAAACTTAAAACAAATGCAGTAAATACCTACAACCTAATCTATTACAAATATTAGAATATTTTTCATGTTATGTTAATATCTATTACTTTTCTTTCTTAGAATTATTATGAGTTTGTTATGTTCTATGACAGTTCGTACCGATCATTTCGTCACCATAAAAAGATAAGTTTATGAACGTCTCGTACCCGGTAAACGCTGTGATAGGCATTTGGGAAACATCAACCATAGGATATTTGGTCCTATGGTTCAAATATACTTATAGCTACCTATCTGACAACTTATGATCGTCATTTAATGTGATATTACAATATATACAATTTAAGTTTTTTTTCACTAAAAACTAATCTATCCTCGTAAAATCTTTATAAAAATTTTTATCACGAATTTACGTCTTCAGCAGCCACGCTTATTACTCATAGACCATAGTTATTAGTTTATTACTATTATATTATTTAATGTTATTTAAGATATTTATCATAATACTATATATATAACAGAAATTCAGTATTTTAGTATTTACAACGTTTGATTTAGTAAATGAGATTACATTTAGTTATGTAAATTATATTTATAAATTAAGAGGATAATTGTTGTCGTTTCTCGTCTTCGTTGAGGGCTTCTTTATTGTTACTCACGTGAGAAATAGAAATTATTCGCACCCCCCCCCCTTCCACGCCGCCTCATATAATGTTGGGCCTCTATACTAAATGTTTTTGCTGATCTTCTAACCAAATGTAAACAAATTTCTGGTAACCAAACATCCTATATTAATATTTTCAGGGGACAAGTGTTCATTTTTTTAATGTGAACAAAATGTCCTAGATTCTAGGTATATACTAATATACTTATTTAGATCGATAAAGTGATAACATGTTAAATCTACTAAGTTAAAAAAGCAACACTATAGYCCAGACTAATAATTATACTTCATTTAATAATATTGTACGTTTTGTGGAATATTATATTGCTTTATCTAATTTTTATTAATTTAATGCTTTGTGTCAGTTTTGTAACATATTGACAAGTTATCTTAAATTCTTAACTTTATTAGTTCAAAGATTTAGGTATATTGTCATTATGATTCATTAATAGTCTATATTTAAAAATGAAGAATTTTTTATTGCCTTTAAAATAGTTGTAGGTTTTATATACTTATTATAAGTGACAAAGTCCAATATTTTATAGTGTCAATAATTAATTTAATCTAATAAAAAAAATATTTTATTTTTATTGGCTTTTATATTTATTAAAAAACTATGCATTAGTCAAATATTATTTTATATAGCACGCATAGGTACCGGGGGATTTTTAATTTACCTTTAAAGTCACTTATTAAGGCTCTAACCCAAAAACCAACCCTAGCCCGGTGTAACGATGTAACAAATAGCTTATCGTCATCTCACTGTAACTGACAACTGTAATCATAATATACCTATGTAGTCGCATATTACAAGTAATAATAAAAAGGTAATTTCAAATACTTATGTAGTATTACATAATATATGACACTAGTACCGGAGTACGACATGCTTATTATACGTAATACCTACAATCTATACATGGCTAAATAATGTTTTCCTTGGATAGTTKGATACCATCTAAAATTCGTGAGATCGTAAATATTCATTGTTTTAAATGTTTAAATATGGCTTCGGTCTTTGAGCAATAAAAACAACCCTTTGTTGTTCTCCTTAATAGTCTGTTGTCTTCACAATATCTTTTATTTTAACAGCCCATTAGATTTATTTCCAAGATCATAGTCGTGTGAAACTAAACATCACGTACATTTTGACACCATGATTGATTGTTCAATCAATCGTCGAGCTATGTTTTTTGGTAAAAAAGGGTAAAAGTGTAAAAATKTTTAATTTAAATTGTGTCTTGATAATTTATATACCCTTAATATTATTGTTCTTATCAAGAAGTTTTAACTGTTGAATCTTCTTTATTGCTCTCGTATTTTTTTTCGGCTGAATGTAAATAGCGTTGAAAGGTGTCCGAAACAGCTGTATTTTTTCCGAGAAAGTTTGATAGTCCATCTGTTTTGACGCATTTGTTGACAAACGCTTGGAATGACCCACGTGTGTGAAATAAAATCCATTGGTGAAGAAGGAAGAAATCGATCAATTTCGTTCTTATATTTATTTACAACTRATTTTAAAAATACTTTTTGGGATGATTGTTTGTTATTTTAGCAGCTGCTACAAGGGTCTGTCATCACAGGTTWAGGGTAAACTATACTCAGACATAGATTTTGACCTTTCACAAACCTATTCAATGAATCTAATTTTCTTGATGAATAAATAAATAATATAACATAATATTAATATGGTAWATCAAAGATGATATTCGACCTAACTACCCTAACTTCTGGACAATCGTCACKTACTTAAATAAGGATTACTTTCATTATAAGACTTTTTATAATTGGTCRCCTGTTGATAAAAAAAACTATTTATTTATCTCAGCAAAAATGATTTTAAACCTTTAAAATATTAMTAAATGTTTACAATTATGTATTATAGTTATAAAATATAAAGATTTTAGGTACAATAATAATAACAAATTGTAATGTTTTATACTTTACAATAATATTGTATTTAAATATGTCTTATTTTCTTGTAATTCACAAGTAATACATTAAACAATTATAAAAGTAAAATAAATTGTAAATATAAATATGCGTACGAATTGTTTTAATACGTTCTATTAAAATAAAAGGTATATGCGTTACTACTTACTTGTGTAATATGTTTTGTTCAATTTGATTTGTATATGTATATTAGATCATCATCAAGTTTTAAAAAGTAAGAAGCACCTACTGTATAGGATAGGTACTATGGAGGCTACGTCCTGAGAAAATAGTGCATTTTGGAATACTTATATATTATATATTAAAAGTTACTTAAGAATAGTAATATCAATAAAATTATCTGATATCCGCTAGATAATATTCTTTCTTTTAAATTTTATAAGAGGTAAATTCACTCTAATTTTAGAAATAACAGAGTAAAATTGTTTGTTGAGAACGTACAATTTGCCATGTTGAACGTTTATAAGACAGAGAAAACAAATGCCCGTATGACGTTCCTCTCCTAATGCTTCTATACGAAAAGATTTGGGTCTTTTGGTTTATCAAATAATTAATATTAACTATAATATTCACTCGTAATACCTATGTATTTTCATTGAAATCAATCCATGTACAAGAAAATATTATGAAACATGTAGAAATTTAAAATATAATTCGTTGAAGTAATTTGAAGATAATGTAATGATATACATTTTAATGTTAATTTTTTCTTCTAACTACATATAACAGGTAGAAAATGTGTAATGTATGATAAATAATATAATACATGTAAAAAAAAAACTGTAATTGTATTTAATAGTAATTAATAATTATGATCTTAAATAATTTATTTTCCAATTATTATTCATACAACACTATCCAACACAATATACCTAGTTACTTTTTAGTTACCTGTTAATATTATATGTAGATTATTGTTGATTTTCAAATCGGTAAAATTATACAATATAACAAAAAATATGTAAAAACAATTTTAGAATTTGATTATTATTTCACAATTACAATTTATTTACATTATACAGAGAGAAAATGATGAATATCTAAGCGGTCTGCACTTGACATCACGTGAGAAACGTTTTATCAAGTTCGCTTCAGTTGAATATCATGGACAACTTTATATGACTCCGCAAGACTTTTTGGAATCATTCGTTGACGAGCAACCTAGAGGTACAAAAAAACTTATTATTTCACTTAAATTTAAATATAGTCTATACTGATACTATAAAATTAAAGAGTTTGTGTGTTTGGAATGTTTTGTCTGTCATTATGCTGTACCATGAATTTAAAAAAAAATCTTAATCGCGCAGTATGAAATTTAAAACTTAAAAATAGTAGGTATAAATATTTAAAAAATGTCATAATGTATATAGAAAATAATAATATAATATATGTAATGGTGAAAAGTTTTAAGTTCTTATGATTAATATCTTTTAAACAAAACATAATAATAACTATAAGTACATTTGTTGGAGGAAAATCTGTTATTTTTCGTAAATTTTAGTTGTATATTATTTACTGTATACCTATTCACTAAAACATGCATATATAATATAGGTTAAGTACACATTTAATTTCTAAATTTGTGTTTTTTTCTAGCTCGGCTTCAGAGGCACTTGATGGTAGATAAGGACTTGGATGAAATTCGAAATAAAGTGCCTGAGCTAAAAAATGGATCTTCACAACTTTTTCGAACACTCAGAGACAAAGGAATAATTTCGTATACAGAATATTTGTTTTTATTATCCGTGTTAACCAGTAAGTAGATCAAAATTCAATTCGGCTTCGTAGTATCTTTTATACTAACTRTGAGTTTAAAACCGTTTGCAGAACCACAGAGTGGATTTCGTATAGCATTTAATATGTTTGATACGGATGGTAACCATAGGGTTGACAAAAACGAATTTCTGGTGGTAAGAATAATATTATTGCACATATACCATAACCACCAAAATTATTAATTATTATACGTAATATAGTACCCAAAAGTATTTTATTTTTAATAATACAGTAATACAAAGATTAAAMTAATTCAGGTTTTAATTTTTCAATTGATTTCAAATAAATTATCTACAAAATGTAATTAAATTATATTATTATGTTATAATAATCAGTGATCGGAGTCTTACTGTATTTTTGAAACATTGAGTTATACCATCCTGCATGTTTTCACCATTTTCATTTATATATTTTCACTTTTATCATTTCTGGACGTAACTATACTTTCCTTATAGTGGTTTAACGTTCATATTGCATGCACTGATATAGATATGTATTTTATCTTACTATCATAGTATACAGTTAAAATGATATACGTATTGCCTTTATCAATAAACTAGAATAATATATTTTTTCACCCTAGTATAGCTAATTGAAATGAGTTCAATGCCTCAATTGTATACCTTTTTCAATTTAGTTCTTTTGCATTTGAATATAAATCTCATACCTAGTTTATTCGATTTTATTAGACAAATGCTAATTGAAATGAGTTCAATGCCTCAATTGTATACCTTTTTCAATTTAGTTCTTTTGCATTTGAATATAAATCTCATACCTAGTTTATTCGATTTTATTAGACAAATTGACTACAAACAACAATACATAAGTTAAGTGATTCGAATTTATTTATTTTATCATGCAGGTAACTATATGTCTATATCTGAATCAAGCGACAGAACGTTGTTCAATCGTACAATAAATATAAAGGTTTATTGTTCAATGTTTTATTGTTCTCACTAAATATTTATCGTTTAAAAAAAAAAATATATTGGGTTTTTTAATGTCGCTGTTCACATTACTTTTATTTTATTATTTATTTTATGTTTTATCAGATAACACGGCTCCTAGCTGGAAAACCAGCCTTCAGAATAGATCTTAATAAACATGCTAAAGAAATTGTGAGTGAGTTGTCTATATAATATGGTTATTATTTACTATACTTTTTAAATACGGATAATAGGGTGGCATCTGGTTAAGAGTACTTAGTGGTAGTCACGGTTGAATATGCCGCGATTCATCGTATAGTATAGTACCTAAATAAAAAATCTKAAAGAAACCTTTAAGGAATTTACAACTAATCTATTCGTTGTGGAACATCTAGTATATACATAAAATTATATTAAGATCGCATATTCGCATATCACATAATATCATTATTATTATTAAACAATAATTACACTTAATTTATAATTATTATTACTGCCGAAATATTTTACGTATGCATGTTAGCCTATACTAATGGTGTTTATTATTCTACTGAAAAGGTAAACATGGAAAATTAGAAATAAGTTTAAAAAATATCGAGTCGAATCCAAAATAAATAATTTACTAATTTAAGAGTTTAAAATAAACGTAACAACTTACTATATATTAACAATTAAAAATAGTAAGTATGTGTGTCTTTTTTTCTTAATGGAAAAATAGATTRCTTGATCAGCTATATGATGAGCTATAGTAGGTTAGTTACCTATACACAGTTGTTCTATACTAAAAAATAGTTAWAACGTTAGAATTTCGTAAATTTAATTTTATAACTCATTACATTCAGATAAAGTATTTATAATACCATTGATTATAAATACTAGTATTTATAATCAATGATAATACTTATATTATGAGTTATGACTTATTTTAATAATAGAATACTAATTTCTTCTTATCACAAATTTTGTATTTTGTAATCAATTATTATTATATACCTAACTGAATGACAGCAAATTATACCAAATATTAAAAGCATGAAGTTATATTTTGTAAATTACGTGAAAAAAATAATGAAAATAAAAACCAAATTTGTTCATAATTCTAAGCTACCTAATTTTTATTAATTTTTTAAAAATGTTTTGGAGGTTCCTACACCAATTTCAATTAAAATAGCGTTGTGACTGGTGGGTTATCAAGATGTGTAAGGGAAGGTTAGGTTAGGAATGGTTGGATGTGTTTTCGTGAAATGGTTTATAAAGACAATACATAATATAGTGTATRACTAGTGAATGAATAGTTAGAATTTTGAGGTCAGAGTGAAGGGAGACAGGGAGAGATTTCTAACGTACCAGGGGACATTTGTAATGATATTAGTGAGGCAAATTAAATTTACAGGAATGATTGAAATATTTTAAAGTTTGATGTTTTACCCTACATCAGAATTCCGTAGGTCATCGATGGGTGAATAATTTGTTTGTAGATATTATATATATATATAGAGAGAGAGTATAATATTGAGTGGAAGATTTGATTTGAGGAAGTGCCTATGTTGTTTTTGAAAATTATATCGTTATTTTGATTCTTGGGGGAATTGTCGTACTATTAATTAATAGCAATCTATATTTTTAGTTCCATTTTCTGAAGCTGATTTTTTTCATATAAATTACGTAAAAATATAAAATAATCAATCAATATGTAATTTGTTTATAATCATTTACATTTTTAAGTTAAGAAAATTAAATACTACTCTGTTTGGTACTCCACTCATCTTAAATTTAAATGCGTACAGGTAATAAAAAGTTATCAATGTTCTATAAACCATATTCATAAAAAAAATTAGACAAAAAGTAAATAAATACCATGATTTTTTTGTTGTCTGTACTTTGTGTTGCCTGGGTAACTGGAACGTTAATTTTGATTTCTCTTACTCACTATATAAATGTCGTTTCTATTTATATTGTATTAACTGAACAAATATCATCCCTATATATTACAATAACAAAGAATAAAGAACACACATCACTTTTCCCCACTACGGCACTACCTAAACAATTGGTATTCGTCTTGTTGCATGCCTGCATATATCTGTTCGTGGTTCGTCGACGTAATTTGTACGCTTTTAATAACAAAATTTATAATAAACCTAAACAGACTAAACTATTAATATGTGATTGTATAATATACTAGAATAATACGTATAGGTACATACAATTTACTAAGTGGATTATTGGACGCATGTATATAGTTACAATAGTAATACCTGTCTAATTAATTATACTTACGACTATAATATGGTGCTTTACAAACTAATAAGCATATAGCATATGAGTATAAAATATTTTATTTTACATTTATATGGTATTTAAATATTAAGTATCGTATTCAATAGGGTACATTTAGTTAAAATATTAAAATTATGTTTATAAATTATGTATTTARATAAAATAGTTGTTGGCATAATATGTAGTTACGTTGTACCAAGTCTACTATTTAAGCTAAAAATTATTAAAATATTGAAAATCAGAAAATTTATATTATGGAAGAATACTTTCAGAACCCACGGACTAGGTACCTAAAATCCACGGTTCCCATATGTACGTAAAGGAATATTTGGGAAAAYCAAAGCTCTATATTTTATAATTTTATTAATAAAGTGGGTAAGACTAACTACTTAACATTCAATAATTGAACAAGTTCAACTTGGATAATTGCTCCATTATAATGGATGGGCTGGTTATAATAATGGTCTCTCTCACATAAGATATTTCCATGAAGTACAAACAATTGTAAATCTCGATATAAATCAGGATTTTTTTGATACTATAACAACTAAATACCTAAAAGTGCAATAATAATTAAGTTTATGTAGCGTCTTTTATGATTAAAAATAGTTGTAACGAAAATTGTGTGCATGGCACAACCCCAGAATTGCTTCTGAGGTTTTATGTTGTATTTAAATAAGTTTCTTTATAAATGTTTGAAATTTAAAAAATGTAAATTTATAGCCGTTATAWCCTAACAGTGTGTCCCGAAAYAATGATGATACCTATCTAAATTCTGGTTTTGTAATAAGACTTACAGAAATAAGAACTACAATTATTTCATTTTTTAATTAATGTTTTGGTAAAAAATTAAAAAAAATACATTTTTTAATTTAATTATTTCCAGAAAAATTGACCATAGTAATTTTGTAGAGTTTATTTTTCTGAAAATATTRACGTTTCAAAATTTTATTTTCATTAATTTCCTGATTTTTTTATTTTTTTTTAGTWTCGAGAAAAATTTCGAAATATTTAACACCGTAATGTTATCAAACATGTGACCCGCCGCGCCGTTCGCATTCCCATACGGCCGGATGCCGGTCGAATACTTTTCATGTTCCTAAATCCTAATAGTTATAATCATATTTTATTTCTTCAAAACTAGAAAAAATATTAAAAATCACATTGAATTAGTTTGAATGACGATGTATGAATCTTAAAAATATAATCATTGTGCTTCGAGAACTATAAATTCACCTGTTGCACATATCCATTCTACCCTTAAAAAAAAAAATGTATATTATATTTGTGAATTGATAATACATTCTTATGAATTAAGACGGCACAGCGTCGCCATAAATTTGTCTACCCTATTATCCGGCAAAGTAAAATTAAACAATAATGTAAATTGTGACAAACTGGTGAGAGGTACAAAATGTTACGTGGCTTAAAAATTGAATGGGTGCTTCGATGTATAAATGTGATATTGCAGTTATCCCAATTATCTACGAAACAAGCCGCTGTCGTTCAACGGGTGCCGGATGAAGATTCAAACATCATTAACCGCGCTGCTGATGATTTGGTCGGTTTTATTTTTTTGTTTACGTATTTATTTGCTTTGCTTTCTACACACACACACATCACACTTGTGTCTATAATGTGTAAATTTTATGTTTGCGTGTTGCGCTTACGACTTTTTTCATTTATCCAGAAAATATTTTTTGTTTAATAAACATACTGTACACAATTTTGATTCTATACACTACACTACTATACTCACTTAATAATACTAACACAATAATTTGTGCACGAATGACATTTGACGTTTGATTTTAGATGGAAAAAATCTTCAGCCAGTCTTGGAAGGACAAACACGGCGTGGAAGATGGCAAGTCCGACACAAACAAAATAGACGCTGACGATTTTGTGGACGACGCTCAGGGACTACAAAAAAAGCATTTGGTTGACACTACGTTGATCGTCCATTTTTTCGGCAAAAAGGGAGACAACGTATTACTGTACGAAGACTTCAGAAAGTAATAATTATTCRATGATTAATATGTATTATATTTTACACCGTCGCCGCGTTGTGCGTAATAAAATCCAAACTGTTGGTATTTTTTATAAGATGAGATGACAGGCTTTAAGCAGTTTAAATTCGTTCTCTTCGTAGGTTAGGTTAGGTACACATGTACCTATGTATACAATAATCCTCCCGCGGTTTATTCGTATTTCAATCGGACGCTATTCTGCCGGTTCTGTATAAAAATAAGTTAGTTCATGATCGAGATGTTTTGAAATATACTTCCTCCGAATAAAACAGTTGTGGAAGTTTTTTTGTGGTTGTGGTGGGGGGAGGGGGGGGTATAAATTATTTCATCATATTTTTAATTTTTTAGCTTAAATTATTTGCTCATTATATATTTTACACTACTACACTTGGTATAGATTTTCATAAAAACAATTTTAAAACACGTGAAAAA